TATACGCATTCATTATCTTTAATTGCAGTACATCATACAATACTATAATTAGCTGTAATAGATATTTTAATATCATAGAGCCAACTATTATGTTCATGTCATGTCAAAAAATTGTGTTGGATACATATATAAGCGCGGTCACCTCTATATTATATTCTTACTTCATACAGTACGTTAAAACTTTATAAATTATTGTTCAAGTATTCATTGCTCCGACATAGTTGTAGTATAATACATGAGTCTTTTTCTCCGTAATTTTTCATTGAACGCACAGTTGCAATTATGTCATCCGATATGAAGAAACTATTCGAAATTGACGTCAAGGTGTTAGAATGCGGCATCTGTCTTCGAAGACTTCGAGATCCCAGAACGCTGGATTGTCTTCACTCCTTCTGCCTGACTTGTTTGAAGAAGCTAATGTCCACTATGGAAGGTAAACTTTGTTGTTCAATATGTCGTAAATCCTACAAAATGCCAATAGGAGGTTTGGAAAAACTTGAAGTTAATCACTTCATCTCAAGAATGCTAGAGTTCACCGATGACTCTACCCAGACGAAAGCTCCCACATGTATTGGTTGTAGTAAAGAAGCGAGCCACCTTTGCTCTGAATGTTCTGACTTCCTTTGTATAGTCTGCGCCGGTCTACATGGCAAGCTCTCCGTTAGCAAGTTTCACCGACTCATGACTCTCGCTGAATATAATAAATTGGATGAAAGAGAAAAACTGTCAGCAAGATCCATGAAATGTCCAATTCATGAAGAAACACATCTGACTGTTTATTGCCTGACATGTAAGATACCGATATGCGCAAAGTGTTGTGTAACCACGCATAAAGTACCGGATCATGACGTCAGACCGATATTACAAATTTTCAAAGATTACCAGCTCTCGGCGTCCAAACTCATACAGAAGACTCTGGTGGTGGAAGAAAAACTTGAGGAAGCAATCGATGACATTACAAATATACAAGAACACCTGAGGAAATCAACAGAGGGGTGTGAACGAGAGATAAATCAATACTTTGAGGAGATTAAGTCCATTATTGAGGTGGAGCACGAAAACGTCCTTGAAGAATTAAATGCTTTGAGTACAGAGAAAAGTATGAGATCAGAGGCACATCTTGAACAGCTTCGACTGGCTTCAAGTAATCTTATCACGTTGCGTCGGTTGAATTGCAGTTTGGTGAGCAGCGGAAGCCCAAGCATTGCTCTCTTTGCAACTCATAAATCTTACCATCGTATGTCATCGCTTCTTCGCAATTTGCCAAGCCTTGAGCCTGAAGACGACGGCATACTTTCGTTTATGCCACGTGAAGGTTTTCTTTCTCGTCTCGAGACAATTGAACTCGGAGAAGTTCAGGAATATAAGTCAATTGACCCATTGCAATGTTCTTTAAGTGTTGGAGATGAAGGAATCCAGGTTATCAGAGGACAAAAGTTTGACCTGACGCTAAAAACCAAGGACTCTAACGGACAGCGACAAGCTCATACAAAAGGAGAAATTGTTGCTATTTTAGTAGATCAATCTGGAAAAGAGTTTGTCACTGAACTAACAAACCAACGGGATGGTTCCTACAAGATTGCTGGGGTGTGTGACTTTGTTGGAAAATGCCGTCTGCACATAACAGTCTACGACCGCCACGTAAAGGGCTCTCCCGTAATAGTCAAAGTCGTAGATAGAGGCCTAGAGCGTACAATACTGACTAAACATTTGTGGAAATCGGCTACGTACAGCGTACATGATATATGTTTCACGAATGATGGTCTCCTCCTAGCTTGCAATAACACGAGTGAGATCCTGAAGCTTGATTATCGTAGCGGTAAGCTAGTTGGTAATGTTGATATTGGAGGTAACAGAAAAATACGTGGGATATGCTTCTCTGTGAGATCGAGGATAATAATGACAGACAACCTATACAGAGAGGTGGTTATTTGCAAAACTGATGGTAGCTACGTGCGACGTTTTGGTCGAGGATCACTAAAAGATCCACTGGGTGTAGCTGAGTGCGAGAGTAATCGGAACGTGTTTGTTGCCGATCAAGGCGGCCCATGCATTGTACAATTTGTGAAGGACGGTAGCATCGTAAGACGAATTTCAAGAGGCCTAGCCAGCATTGGTGATATGAGGTGTCCCATGTTTCTCTCAGTCTTTAATAAAGGGGGCATTGTAGCGTCAGATTCCGAAAGTAATTGTGTTCAGGCATTCACAAACGAAGGACGTTACCTTCGCATATTAGGCCAAGGTAGAGGACGCAGGGATGGCCAGATAGAGTACCCGACTGGAGTAGTGGTTGATAACGAGGATGACGTAATCATAGCAAGTTATCACAAAATTCAAATTTTTCGAAATGATAGATTCATTAAACGAATTGATAAAGAACTCGATGGTGTGAATTATCCATATGGATTGGCTGTTCACGCTAGACACGTTGCGGTCGCTAACTATGGCGATAACTCAATAAAGATTTTTACATACTAGAAATATGTTATGACAGTTAATTGACTTATAACATGAAGCTCGATTTATTTATTAGGTCATTATTGCGTAACGTTGTTTACTTTCTTCCAAATATATAATCAGGACATTAAATGCGTTCATTAAAAAAAACCCTGCATGCACAAAATTGTTAGTACGTTTACGTACACCACTCATCAGATGCGAGATTAATTCATAATGCACGGCATAATGGCTTCCCCTCCAAACTCTTTAAAGTTAGGATTATAAAAACTTATTATTATTTATTTGTTTTAACAATTTTGTTCTTTCGTTTATTTTACATTTCGAAGATTATGATTTTTAGTGCATAGATACTGACTTTTATCATCATATAATTATTACCAGGGAACAGTTACATTGAACTGTTCCCTGATCATTACCAAGGTTTATTAATTTGAAGGGCCATTATATTACCATAACTGTTATTACTCAAATTATTATGTAGCATCCTCTTCATCTATTATAACTCCGATTGGCTGAGCATTGGGACGTGTCTTATCGACTTTGCAACGCAGCATTAGTTTTACATGATTCGAACCAAGAATTCTAAAATTTAAATTCATATTTTAGCTACAAAGCTACAGTTTCGTTATAATATTCAAAACACATAAGTTTGTTATAATTAAGTTGCTGCCATTTAAGGATAGCCGAACCAATAGGCATGCATATCTACTTTCATTGATTTTATATCATTTTACTTCGATTCAGTTGTTGACGCTTTATATGTGTTTGAATTATTATTATATAAGCCTACACTAGGTATGATTTAATCTAGTTTTGTTCAATATTATACATTTGAAATTGCACCAGGACATTAAAAAAGGAAAAAATTGGTTTTACTATTCGAGTTGTCTTTTAAGACTAAATTGTTTTGTCTCAGAAGAGAAAGTCAATAAGAGATACAGTACCACAAAATTCTAGCATTGTGGACAAAACTGAAGCAAAGCAGATGTTGTACTTTGGTCATATGACACGAATGCCTAACACAAGATACCCCAAAATTCCCCCTAGGCCTACATTCTATATTCAATCTATGGCCGGAGACCGACAGGCAGTCTCATCAAGTGATGGCTTGAAAACATCAAAGCTGTCAGGATTTCTCAACACTGGGCTTCATTGGTTAAACGGCTGCTATAGTTCCGAAGATTCTTGAATCCAAGAGAGAATACCATTCTATGTGTGTAAATGTAAATATTTAAATTTTATAATACAAAATTTAATATTGTTTCGATACACTCGTTATATTATTATACACTATTTTTATAAGAACACATTTTTCAATACCACTAAATGAGGCTGAGGTACAATGTCAAATGAGGTTCTATTTAAAGACTTTAGAAAGCAACAAACCAAACTAGTCACATACAGTAAAGTATTAATGTTTAAACATGTTATGCTGTAAATCTATTTTGGTCTTATCTGTACCTTATGTACAGGACTGTGACTATGTAACACCATCTATAATACATTATAATTATTATTATTGTGCAGAAATCATTTACTATTTTTATGAAAAGTAAGAAAAAAGTATGAACATTTTGAGCCTGAAATTGTCAAAACAATAAGAATACTGAACATAGGCAAAATTTTACTGGTTCTTATAAAAACAGTGTATTCGCATTCGTAGACATTATTTTCCGGCAGATTTTTATGTGTTCCTATGATATATGTGAATATTAAAGCCTAATATTTTTGTGAACCTTATAAAATGAATAGTTTCTATATCACAACAACTGGCTTATTATTGAACCGTTCTTTACATAATCTTTCTTACTTATGTGTTTCTCTATTGTGATCCTGTATATACTACTTGACTTTAAATATTGGCCTATATTTTAACCCTCCTTAATTTTCCGGTTATTCACAAATATCGAGACTAATATAAGCTGAAATAAATTCTTTAAAAAAAATTGATCGTTCAAAATGAATACCGTCTGACCACATAATCTACACACTGTGAAACGTGAACTTACAAAAATCCAATCTATTATGCACACATCGCATTACTTAAACTGGGTGAATGTCAAGGTCTACCTTATTGTAAACTTTTAAGTCTGGTTATAAATTTGGCTCTATACGTAGTAACTGACTTACAGTAAAATATTGGCTTAAACTGCTCCTGAACCTGTTGTTAGACCTTTGTACCTGTATGTACTTAATGTCAATTAAGCCATAAATGAAATGAAATAAATAAAATAATGAAATAAAATATAATATTTGGGGGGGGGGAATTTTAGGTTGCAAAGCTATTAATAGGCCTACTGTGCATCACCTTTTTTAAGAATTAAAAAGTAAAGTACTAATAACAAAATGGGGGGGGGGGTTTAATATTAAAAGAAATCTATACCAGTATCTCATTGAACGTTCCAGAGGTTTTCGTCAAACACCATTTTTTGTCTTAGAAAAATCAGTCTCCGGAGCCTGGCTTTAAAACCACTAAAAAAAAAATACAAAAAAAAAAAAAAAAAAAAAAAAAAAAAAAAAAAAAAAAAAAAAAAAACACAGACGGTAGATAATATAAAAAGTAGCAAATTCAACACTAGGCCACTAACACTAGGCCTGATTAAAATGTAAACAGAGAAAACAAATTTTTAATGACATATTAATTAAATGTCTTCGTGTCTCCAGAAATGTGCGGACTAACATCAAGTCACGGTCCAAAAATATAATCCGTGGTGTCCCCCAGGAAAGTATGACGCCCCAAATCGTGCTTTTAGACTACACTATCAGAATAGACAGATAGGAAATAGCAATCATTTATTTTTAATCGGCCAAGTAATATTTTTCCTCCTTGCCGAATCAGGGTCAATGCTTTGCCGCCTCCTCTATACCCCTCCCTCCACGGTCGTGTCGCCATTGCTTGAAAACTAAATAAGTCGTGAATGACAACATTAACATACAGCGCTATCCATACGCCCACACAAAAACACACGACACACGTAATAGTACATGCCTATAACAAAAGCACTGGAGCCTGAACATGGCCGTCACTGTCTGATGCACAATACACTAATTATGTGAAGGACTTTCATTTGTACCGTAGAAGTATTGATTATAATATAGCTATTAAACAAAATTATTATATTTATGTGTATAAATCAATTCATTTTAACTGTGTAGTGTTATACAATAACAATCAAACTGGGTATAGAAAGAATTGCAGTCAACAAGTTTGGCCACAATCATTGTTTTAAATATTTTTTAAAAACATTATTGGTCCATTCATTACAACTAGATATGTTCACTGGTTCATTGAACCCAGCATGCAGAATAATTATATAATATCAACTACAATAAAATTCACAGCATTATACATATATATATATATATATATATATATGCCTATATATACATATATATACATATACACACATATATATATACAATATACACACACACATATATATATACATATACATATGCATATATATATTCATATGCATATATATATATATACATATATATATATATATATATATATACATACATATACATATATATATATATACACACATATATACCGTATATATAATATGTATGTATAATCAAATAAAGTTGCTGCGTAGCAACGTAACAATATAAACACACAGATAAATAATAACAGTGCTTAACTAGGAAGAAAATGTAATATTCGTATCAAGCATAACTTATCAATGACAAGTTCCTAAAAAGTGTTTCTGGAGGGATTCAAACCTGCAACCACTCGCTGTCAAGGCGAGTATGATACCCATAGACCACACAGACCTATATATCGTGCAGTTCTAACCGCCAGGCACTTCCTTCATACAACTGACTGATACACTCACACATAGTGGAGCTGTGGTTAAGATAGAAAGACTGTTTGGTCGCAGCTGAGAAATCATACCGGTAGTAAATAATATTCAAAATCAAGTTCCTGCATGATGGCACCGTAAACAATATAAACAAATAGACAAATAATAACAGTGCTCAAATAGGAACATGTTGTAATAATCGTATCAAGCATAGCTCATTAAATATCAGTTTTATGAAAAAAAAGTGTCTCAGGCGGGATTCCAACCTGCAACCTCTCGCTGTCAAGGAAAATATGCGTAACATACCCATTAGACCACAAAGACATTGGATCCTAGTATAAGTATCGAAATTTGTCTAGGAATATTATGCACTTAAACATTCAACTTTTAATGTACTAGTTGAATCATCCCGAAATATTCTGATACATTTTATGGAGCAAAGATAATTAGTATAAGAACTTAAAATTTACTTCAACTATTTTATATTATATAACCTAAATTAGTATAAAAATAACATACAAGTAATTGAAATATTAAATTATAGTATATCATGGTTCCTTATAAAATCAAGAATAATTATTCAGTCACTAGTCTACCCTGGCCAGTGTTCAACCGGATACAATTCTTTAACACTTTAAAATATTGTACTGTTTTCTTATTTTGTGCAGTGGAGTTATACACACCGACACAAACTTGTTTATGTTAAATCCAAAGCACAGGATGATTAGCCAAAGCGTCTGGTTCAGCCTGAAGCAAGCAAGAAAGGCACCGGCAGAAGGTTTTCGTTCTCTGCCGCATTACCATTCCCTTACCGCTCTGCTAATTCGCCCTTCATATGAACCTAGACAAAAGCAGGAAATTCGTAAATTGTTAAAATAGACTACTTGATGTATAGGCCTAAAAATAAAACATTACAGAAAGAATGGGTAATATATTGTACGTTATTATACAATATACAAGAATTGACAGCAGCACTTTTAAGACTACAGTAACAATATAGAATTTATGAATAAATTCAACATTGTTAGTCTTAAAGTGCTGCTGTCATTTCTTTTATATTGTTAGTCTTAAAACTGCTGCTGTCATTTCTTTTATATTGTTCCATAGCAGACTAAACGCATCTACACTTTTTATTCATTATAACAGTGATAGAACGGTGACGACGGCGTTTGATGATGAACTTTGACACTGCTGTGGTGTAATGATATAGTCGACCTAGACCTATGTGGTTGTGGGGTAAATGATTACAGTTTACTCTTGGATTCGAGACTTTTGACCAGAAAATGTGAGGTCTGGTATCTAATTGGGAGATTTAAAGATCGAATAAATTAAAACACAATTAATAATACATAAATAGGCAAAATAAAACCATAAATTACAATGACAACACAGTTGTCAATTAAAAATAATGATCATATTAAAAAAAATAAAATCTTTGATAATGATAGTTGTAATACCAATGATAATGATAGTAATATTGATGATAATGATAATGATGTTGATGATAAAGGTGATGAGGATGTTAAATAATGACGATACAAATATTCATTAGTGACCAAATTCTGTAAGAAATAATCAAGATCAAAATGACAACTTTTTAACAAAATTATTTCAGTATTTATTCTTTTAAATATCTAAATCAATATATACAATTTTATGAACTATTTTTCTTTGATATTTACACTCGATAAATCATTACACTACTAAAGAACAAAAACAACATTGATACATTCGTTATAAATCCGCAGTCGTCGAATTTTCATTCAATACATCCATTCTAAGCCATGGAAGTTCGGCAGTATGTCATGACTAAGGTTAACTCGATACGTTTAGTATTATCATGAATTATTGTCTTCGAAGCTATGAAAAATGTCTACTAATGTTTATAGTTTCTCGTTGAGGAGCGTTCACACGTATGTGGGCGTAAAAACCCTATGTTGGGTGCGGAATGTAAATACGGGAGCTGGCTGGCTGTAATCCGTCATATGTTGACGCAGCGTTCTTGCTCGGTTCTCATCAACCCATTTTGATGTTTTAGTCTCAACCGAAAAAGACAAAGTCGACACCATATCTAAAGAGCTGTCGGAGCGATATAAGTCTCTGTCTATATATTCATTTTCTTCGCATAACGTTGTAAGCTTATCATCCGATAAACACATGTTATTTATTTCCATGCCGAAGCTGTTCTGTCCATGCATTCCATGATCGCTTTCGGAAAGTGAGCGCCGAGCTAGCTTACGACGGTGCATTTCCACTTCATTAGCATTACCTACTCGTAAAAGACCTAACAAAAAAGAAATCGAGAAAAAAATGTATTTATTATAAAATAATATATTCATATTTATAACATAATTGTTTTATCCAGGCCAGCCACAGATCTAGTATAACTTAATCAATGTTTTATAATAAATCCTTTTTTACCTACTCGTAAAAGACCTAACAAAAAAGAAATCAAGATAAAATATTTTCTATTAATTATATTACCTGTATATATTCATACATACTTATAATATAATTTGTTAAAAATTAATATTGGCCACAGATCAACTGAAATTGGACAGAGTCTTAATGAATCGTTTTTGCTAGACAAACATAGGCCTATACATAAAATCAAAGTGGGCCATATAAGCTTATGTTTTTTTTAACGGCCCGAAGTTATAGGCAAGTCAAGAAAAGAGCGGAGTTCTGAAAATAATGCAATTTCAAAGGAATTGAACCAAGGACCATGGGATTGGAGGGAAACATTTTAACTATCTAGCTCCATACCATTCAGGGAATCGTATTAAATATTAAGCTAATGTTCTCCCACACAGACCAATCATGCCATATAAAGTTTTATAATGACGTTTTTTTTTTGTTTTTGTTTTTTTTTAATTAGAGCCAAGCCGATTTAGTAATTAAAAAGATTTTAACTCAGGACTCTGGGATTGGAATATAATCATCATAAACACCAAACTAAATCTTTCCTAAAACATTATAGAAAAATAAGCATTGTGCATACGTAGGGTTAATTATTATTGACTATTTTATTCACCTTAGAATATATTAGTCGAATATTTCTTACGTACGTACCATTCAAATCTAATACTGCTCTAAATTAAAAAAAAATAAATAAATAAATAGACATATAGAAATGATCCGGCAAATTAAATGCTTAAATTAGTTTTATTGAACATGCTTGAGAATACTGTCTGGAAGCCTGTGACATGAATCATAAGTGACCTACCTCCTCTGAGTCCCAGTGTAAATGATTGGTACGTTAGATTATGGCCTGCCACATCATACGATTTCCTTAAAGAACAACTTTAGAATATAAACCCATCATTCTTCAAGAACATGTAGATAGTATCTACTTATTTACAAACATAATGCATGTAACAATTACTATAATATGCATAATAATAGTAATAATAATAATAAATAATAATAATAATAAAAATAATAATAATAATAA